TCTGATCGTGGCCCCCGTGCGCAGCCCCTTGCTCCCTGGCAGGTGACGGCCGGCGCGGGTTTCCCTTGCAGCTGGCCACGTGGGGCCCGCTCCCATCTCTGGCTGAGCCTGCCACGCCTCGCTGCGGCACTGCGCAGGGGCACGAGCTGGCAAGGGCTGGAGACCCTGCCCGGGACGTTCAGGCTGGAGGTGCAGCGCTCCCCGCTGAATCCGGCTTGCAGGGCAACAGAGCAACCAGACCGGCTGCGTCTTACCTGGAGCCAGCGGAGAGCACTGGCCCCAGGACCCTGCCCCGCAGAGCGAGGGGTCCGGCTGCAGCGGCATCGTGTGCTGCCTCCAATGGGACTTGGGCTGAACCCCTCGTACGTCCCCGAGCCGCCCAGTGCCTCTCAGAGCGGGGCCTGGGTGTCACCTAGGCGGAGGACTCTGCCATCCCTTCCAGCAGCACTCGGGGCCAGCCCACGCTCGGACAGCCCTGCCTGCAGGAGGAAACGTGCCCGCCCAAAGGGGCAGATGGCCTCCTTCCTCCCCGCCACCTCCACGGCGGCGCCACGGCACTGCAGCCGCCCCGACCCAAGTGTCCCTTCTCCCCCAGCCTGACATCGAAGGCCTGAGCTCAGGGACCTGCCACCCTGCGCCCCAGGCCAACCGAGGAGCCTCCCCTCGAGCACACGCGGAGCAGCGCGCCCCTAGCACGGGGGGTCCAGGCCTGGCTAACTCATGCCTTCCCCGGGGGAGCTGGCACTAGTGGGCCACCACCAGGCAAAGGGAGAGGGCGTTTTCCCAGCTCCCCGAGGTCCTTTGCGCCTGACCTGGGCGGAGCTCCCCAGATGTCGCCTCCAGCGCCCAGCCCGCCCACGGGCGCCACACTCACCCCGGTTAGGCCTCCAGATCTTCTCCATGCCGTGCCGCATGAGCACGATGCGCGACAGCTCGGTGAAGGACTCGGTCACGTTGAAGTTGCACAGCGGGCTGACCTCGAAGAAGGTCATGCAGTTCTTCTCCGCGTAGGAGCGGGCCTGCTCCGTGGGCACCTGCCGCTTGAAGGCCAGGTGAAGCCTGTTCCCGACCAAAATCCGGGGGACACCTGGAGCGTGCTTCAAAGAACATGGACCATGCTGAGACCGGGGCGGCAGAACCACGGCACGCCCCAGACGACGGCCGCCACGCGGGCTGCTTAGCGGGCAGTGGCCAGGGGCGCCGCCCCGCTGGGAGCGACCGCTGCGATACAGACGCAGCGACCCCTCCAGACCCTTCCACTCGGGGGTTTGCAGGGCACCACCCCACATCCCCGGCCCCACAGCTCAGCTGTGCTGCCGCCCTGCTTTTGGCCGGGCAGACGTGGCTTTTGCGTTCTGACAGGCTGACCTTCCCCTACCCAGCCCCGGCCACAAACCAGGGAATTGGCCAGGCCTACGGAGGGCAGTGCCGGTCCCTCCGCTGATGCTCCTGGACACGGGGCCCCAGCGCTGCCCCTCTTCCCCTGAGCATGCCCTGCACTCGGCCTCTGCCAACCAGCACGGGGGCGCCAGGCGCTCTGCGGGCAGGGCAGGGCAGGGCCGCTGGCGTATGGGGGAAGGGCAGATGGCGCTAGATTTCCCCACCTGGCTCCAGCCCTAGAGCAGCCACAGGGCTGCGCACAAAGCCGGAGCAGGCCACCCTGGAGCCGTACTTGGGAGTCCCCCTCCCCCCTGCGGTCTGTATTCGCAGGGGTGGCTGTGCTGCTCCCAGGACTAGAGGCAAGGGAGGGGAAAGGATCTCTTATGGAAAGGGGAAGCTCCCATGCTTCACAGAGCTCCCGTCAGGCCTGGGGAAGGCACCCGAAACGGCTGGGGCAGACGGAAGGCATGAGGGGTTCCTGTGGGCTGGGGAAGAGGTTAGCAGGCAGTAGGGGCGGTACAAGTGGCTGTAAGAGCCACAAGACCAGTGTCTAGCAGAGCGCCTTTGGCTCACGACAGGCCGTAGCGTCCCTCCTGCCCGCTAACCCTCAGGGGCCCTTTCAAGAGGCCTCCTCCAGCCTTCGTGAATCTGTCCCGACTTTGCTTGCCTTCCCCAGACCTGAAGAGCCTCTGTGGGGCTAACCAGCGTGACGGGAGAATTCAGCGACCTTGCTCCCGGGGCACTGGATTGCCTAGGCCAGGGCCAGACCCCGCCCATGGGCGCAGGTTGTGCCTTTCCTGAAGCAAAGCCACAGGGGCTCTGGGGGCCGCGCCCAGACCTGAAGAGCTTTGGGGATGTCAAAAGCGGGTCCATTCCGCCAACTGAAGTGGGCCCCTAGAAGGGCCCATTACATCCCCTCGTATCACGCCCTGGCATGGCCAGGCCCTGGCATGGCCGGCGCTGCACACACAGCCCGAACAAGCTGCAGTCTCTTACCTCGTCTATTTCCTTTATCCAGCGGTCTATCCCATCGAAGGACCAGCGGTTAGTGATGTCATACACCAAGAGAATCCCCTGTGTGGAAACCAACAGGAGCCTGGTGAATTTCACGCCATGCAAGCAGAGAGCCCTGGCATGGCCAGGCCCTGGCATGGCCGGCGCTGCACACACAGCCCGAACAAGCTGCAGTCTCTTACCTCGTCTATTTCCTTTATCCAGCGGTCTATCCCATCGAAGGACCAGCGGTTAGTGATGTCATACACCAAGAGAATCCCCTGTGTGGAAACCAACAGGAGCCTGGTGAATTTCACGCCATGCAAGCAGAGAGAGGAGCTGGAGAATCCCCAGTTTTGCAACTGAACGAAACTGGCACTCAGCACAAGAGGCTGAACAGTTACCTTGGGCCCCGGAGACACTGCCCTGGGACAGTCAACCTGCTCTGGCTCGCTCATCAGGCCTCAGCAGCCTGGCACGACCGAGGGCGGATGGACACGGAGGGTCTGACACTGCGGAGACCAGATTTTCCAGGAACACTCCTGCTATTTGGGGATTTTTCCTCATTCAGGCACCTATTACCCCCACCCTCATCCCAGCCTCTCTCTGGCTACGTTTACAAGACGAGCAGGGGAGGGGCGGGGCGCTGCCCGGTAGCACGGAAATGGAGTATCTCAAGCAGGAGCCAGGCTGTTCACACTCACACTAAGTGCACTTGGAGAGGCTGCCGCAGAGCGGACGGGCCCAGCCCAGCCCATCTAGCACGCGGCCTGCACTGGTTTGCCAAGGAGGGCTCCCTCTTCGGCCAGCTCCTTTCAGTGAAGGCACCTTTATACTGGCAGGTATTCACCAACCGGGGACGCGAGGGGGCGGCCATCCCGCCCCGTGGAAGCGCCCCAGGAACTGCCACTTGTGCACAACCGAGCACTCTTCCGGCTGCATCCCCGGGGACACGTCGGGCCACTGCCGAGGTGACTAGTGCGGGGGTCACGGACACGCTCCCCGTCTCGGGCTTCTGGCTGCTGAAGGCTCTTGGCTACCGTGACTCCGAGGTGACTGCCAGTGCCCACGCCAAAGGCATTGCTTTGCCCGGGGACTGCGCCAGAGACGGGAACTAAGGCACACGTGGGTAAGCGACTACAAGCCCGAGGGCGCTCTCACCAGTGCTAGCGCGAACACCACGCAGAGTTCCCCATAAAGCTTCCTCAAACCAGGCAGCGGGGTGGGGGTGTGAGCAGTCAACAACTGCTCTTTTACAACCCTAAAACGGACCGCTGGTTTCAACAGGAAGACAGTTACTACACCCTTTCCTGGAGCGCTCTAGCTCAGGCCTTGCCCCGAAGCTGCAACACAAGAAAGTGGAGAAGGTGGGAGAGAGAAACACGACTGCAGAGATGGGAGAGAAGGCGCCTTTGGTGAGAACCCTTGGGAATACACACTGAGCAGCCTCCAGCTACTTCTGAAGATGCAAAGGGCCAGGCTACACATCTGGGCTGAAGCCTCACTCTTTGCAAGGCGTCCTGTTTACGTCTGGGTGCAGACAAGGCTGCCTAGTGGAGGGGAGAAGCAGCCAGCCATGGGAGATGCATCATCAAAAGGTAAAACGCAGTAGAGCCAAATGAGAGACGGGAATGCCTCCGAAGGTGGCCAGAAGGCAGACTCCCAGGCTGACCACAGGCAGCACCCTAGGTAGCCACTCGGGAACACACATCAGGGAGAGGAGGCCCCCCCCCCCCACAGCCTGCTGCTTGCAACGGAACGACTAGCTAGATCGCTACCAGCCAGGCCGCTTGCGTGACACCACAACCATCAAAAAGCTGCCGGTTGCTAACAGCTACCACCTCGCAGTTGCGAGATCACATTTCCCAGCCTGGGCTTTCATCTGGAAGCAATAACGTGATAGCCGCCAGGCACGTCCTGCCGTCTGAATGGCCACTACGATACGAGGCCGTAGCAACCCAGGGAAACACGGATGAACCCCTCCAGTCCCACGCTTTCCTGTCCTCCTGGCACCCAGCAACACGGCTGCCCTTTCAAAGCTCTTACAAGAAAGTGAGCAGCCATGTCCATGCTGCAGGATTCTGCTTAATGGGCAGCTAGTGCCTGAGTGCGGAGCTTTCCAACACTCCTACTGTGTTTGTTCTCTCCCCCCCTCACCAAGGGCACTTGAATGAAAAGAGACAGTTCAAAGGTGACTGGCTCCTACAGCTCCACCGCTACTGTTGTAACGGGGCTGCAGAGGAACCTAGAGGGAGAGACTGGTCGAGTAGGGACAGATGAACCAGCCTTGCTCTGACACAGAGGCTCAGGGGGAAGGGGAAACCCCCAGCCTGGAGATAAATGGTCAGAGGCCAATGCGAGTGCAGAACAAGCAGGTCCAGGCGACAGTCTCTCCTCTTGCAGCAGGCACAGCGGAGCCAGGCTGCTAAACAAATGCAGCCTGATGTCCCTGAAGGCCAGCCAGCTCCAGGGTCCGAGTTCAAGGACAAATCAAAACAACCTGGCGGTGAGCCCGAAGGGAAAGTCTTGCGCAGCCTCCCCCCCGGATCCGTGCGCCACGCAGTGACGTTCCGAAGGCTGCCCTGACATTTCAGTCCCATCTAGTACCGAACCGACAGGACATTCCCACAGAGCAGGGGGCAACCGGGGCTACTGCATGAAGTCGGCAGCACAGGACTTACTGTACCCGGTGGGCCCCTCCTCCACTTACCCTTCCAGCACCCTGCTTCGGTGTCAATAGTTAAACAAAATCCCAGAGTGCACCAGAGCTGGGTGGGGGATTTTCCTGATTCTCCTGCCCTGCGAGAACACTCGGATTACATGGGAGTGAGGCCTGTGTGGACATTCTAGCTAGGTCAGTGTTTGTACCATGCACTGCTGTGACTGTCCCCAGTCGTGTTATAAAGCAGATGCAGCATTATTCATCTTCCTTCTGCAGGAGTGCAGAGTACAAGGCAAAGAGATGCTGGGTGCAGCAGAGTGCGTGTATTTTCACAATGGGCTTCCCTTTGAACAGGCGTCCACATGCTCTTGGGGGCAGGCAGGGAGAAGAGAGCCAGGGCCTGGCCAGTTTACTTCACTCTTCAATACCTCTCCAAGCAACTACAACTTCCTCTTCCTAGTCCTGATTGACACAGTCCAATAGCCCTGATCCATAATGTCTTTTGTCTTCTACAAAGCCTGCCCACGGCTCTTCATTAGTGTCCACTAAGGGGGAGTTTTCGTTGGCTGTAGAAAGGTGAGCATCTACCAAAAGCCCAGTGTGCAAAGCTCAGGTCATGAGAAAGCTACTGAAAATCAGACACCCTCTCTCTTACTTACCAACCCCACAATGAGACAAAACCTTGAATTTCTATCAAGGCACCTGAGAATTGCTTGGGAGTGTGAAAATAACAGGCACTGAGAGAGCGAGAGAGAGAGAGAGAGCGAGCGCACGTACATAGGGGCAGATGGGGGTAGAAAGGGTAAAAGAAGTTGATAGGAATTTTGCAAAATTGTTCAACTAAGGGTGAAAAAAAAATCACTGTAGTTCTGTGGCCTTCTATGGAATCATCCACTAAAACAGAGGAGACAAACATTAAGATGCTCCCTAAGTAAACAACCAGGGTTTGGGGCTGTTTAGTGAGGGGGGGGGGAGGATTCTTTCTTCATAAATCAAAGCAGCCAAGAGAGAGATTCACTCTTTCTTTCCTTCATAAAGGAAAAAGTGGGATTTTTTAAAAAGGTTAAACTGCAAACCAGTTAGACAGAAGACATGCAAGTGCCCTGTTTACTCCTGGACACAATTCTCTTAGCCAGTAATCCCGAGGCCTTGTTTGCCAAGAGCGCGTTTCTGATGGAGATATGCTGTGGGAGGGCAAGCGGGGAGCTGCGGCCCAAGATCTCCTTAAAGAGGAGTATTTTACATCAGCGCAATTCATCACCAAGGAAGATGGTGCCTAATTATCAGCAGGTTAATGAAAGATCAAGGCTCCACTTACTTTGACTTCAAGATATATTCCTCCACTGTCAGCACAGGGGTATATAAATCCATGCACACACGGACTGAATTTAGGTTACCAAGTGAAACCCACACATGCCCCAAAGTTAACTCTGCCACTATTCCCCCAGCGTGTGCGTTACGGTGGAGCGATTCCATGCACTTTCTGCACAGGGTGGATGGCACTGTCTGCGTAAGGCGCCTGGGTTTTTTTTTAAATCTTAATCTGTTGTTCTGACACCCTACAGGCCAAGCAGTGAGTTTGGAAGGTGCTTTGGAAACAGGCTTCGCTTGTTACACGCTCCTGCTTCATTCAATGTTCATTCGGAACCAAAAGTAGTGACACATGATGCACGCACCTGCAATCTGGGTTGGGATAGAGTGGGATAGACAATCCTAACTTATGGCATTTTCTCACTGAGCACCTCCCTTTTCCGTCTTCCAATCACACTAAATCCATCTGCACACCTCACAGAAACGTAACCCCCCCTCACGCTGCTCCTGATGGCCAAGAGTGCGACGAACCCCATTTTGCAGATGAACAAACTGAGGCACAGGGAGGTTAAGTGACCCGTCCAAGGGCACACAGGAGGTGGCGGGAGCTGGACCCTGCTCCTCACTTCCACGGCCGGCCGTTAGCCACTAGCTCATCCTTCCTACCCGTCCTGCACAATCCACTCGCTCACCTTCACCTCAGCTAGAAGGCGGCTAGACTCCACCCTCCCCTGTCTCCACACCATCAGATGCACTCAGAAAATGAAGTTCTGCTTGGCTTTTTGGCACCATACAACGCCGAGAAAGAAAGAGCGGGCGTTTGTCTCTTGCCCTCTCTGTCAAGTGGAAGTTTCCATGTCATGTAGACGAGCAGGAAAAAGGAACAGTCTGTTACTGGACAGTAAAGCAGTGTCCATGCACATTGGTTTTTCAAGCATTTTAAACTGTGCTGAAGCTAAAGCGGATTTTCACTCCCCATCAAAAGGCATTTCTGCATTCCCAGAGGAGGCAGCAGGAAAGCCCTGCAATGGCAGGGGATCAAAGTCCCATGGAGAGCTGCTGCCCCTGCATTAGCTAGAGGTGACTGGCTGGATAGCGGTGAAGAGCGAGGGTTTATGAAGACTGGACAGGGCGTTTGTTCTGGTGCCGATGCAATGCCTGTTATTTCTGCTATGGTGCTCGGACTATTTAATGAATGAGCCAACTGTGGCTTGAAAACCTGAGCTCCTGAGACTGAGACAAAGAGGACAAGTCGACCCTAGGAGGCTACATGATCGCAGAAGGGCTCTGCTTAGCCCCGGTGCATGC